CCCAAATCATGTGAATAGGCCTGGATGCTGAGTAAAGCACAAACACTCTACAAGCATGTCATTCCAGGGGATGGTGCTATATAAATAGCAATTTGATTTACTGTTTGAAATAGACATATATATTCCGTAATACACTATGTTGCCACTACATAAAGCAATGCCCTATGTAATACATACTTGATACTTTTCATTTTAAAATTCAAATGTAGTTTGAAAAAAAATTGATGAACTTTCACTTACCCTCATAAAACAGTCACAGTGATGACATTTAGAAAGTGAAAAAATTAAGGTAGGAAAATTAAATGATTTGGCTAGAGAACAGTGTTGAAAGCAAAATTTCAAAACCAGCAACTATTAATACCTTGAGAGCATTTGTATTCATCATTTGGCTATTCTTGAGTATGAGATGTAGAAGCTCCAAAATGTCTACGTAATTCTCATATTCAATGTAAAGCAAATTAAAGAAGGTAATAATACTTCCTACCTTTTTTGCTTTTTTCTTATTCAGTTTGTAAAATGCCTATAGTACAGAAATGTAGGTAACTTGCTGTGAATAGATAGTAACATTATAGTTCACAATGCAAACATTGTGAACTTCTATAATGCTATTCTTAATATTTCTCTCATGTTGTCACTTTACTCATTCAACTAGCATTAAACTAGTCAACAATATATTCCTTAAAGGCATAGTCTGAAAATGTCATGATGATTTGTCAAAAAACACCTCTTAATTTTTGCAGAACCAGTAACTGCAGTATGGTGCCAATTTAACAGAGCTGTGTTTTGGAATAAAGATGACAAAATCGAGTTAGAGTTGAATTATAATCATTCACCGAATGGGACTCGATTAACATCTGCATGCCTAAGCAAAGCTTAATTGGTCAAACCCATCAACAATTCAACATCCGTTTAAAGTAGGTCATATGAATATTGTTTAGAGAAACCATATCATCTGATAGCACTCTGAATGTTGAGCTACTAATATATGAATGACCTTCTCCTTCTGGACTTTCTGAAGTTTCTGACTCAGTTCAACTTGCTCATGCAGGATACTTTTTTGTCTTAAAAACTCTTCAACATTCAAGATTCTCAGATTATATCTTCCAAAATTAAAGAAGTAAATAAATAATGACTGAGAATAGTAAAGCTTTCATAGCACAATAAATATACAATTTAAAATCTAGTTACACTTTGTAAAATTGACTTTTCTGGAAATAAATTTAAATAAAGCATCATAACTTTATATAGAAAAAGATATATGAACAGTCACTTTTCTGACTTAAAATTTATTAAACTTAAATAACTTTATATTTGTGAAAGCTACCAAGTACCATCATTGTAGTGAATACAAAACATTCAAGATATAGTTCCTACCCTCAATGCAAGGTAAAGAAATACAAATGCAAATAACTATATAATATGTCAAAATGGGACTTTCATGCAATAGACACAATAATAAAGTATCTATGGGAGAAAAAATGCAATTAATGCCACAGCAGAGGTAAAATTGGAGTTTTGAAGATAAGGTGGGATTTCAACAAGCAAAACAAGAGTGGCTAATATGCCTCTGGGCCAAAAATACATTGTGAGCAAACACAAAGAATGCAAAATGAAGGATACACTCTGAAACTATCTAGAAGTCCAGTGGGGATAAAAGCAAATTTATATTTCTGTCTTTTACATAAATCACAATGAGTTTTCATATGGCATTTAGCCAGTTATGCCAAACTTCAAATTTTATAATCGTGTAAATTATTTTGAGGAATGCCATGGTAATAAGGCTGCTGGTAATTTCTACCTATTTTTTACTCATGACTTTCCAAATTAACATTTTCTTCTTATCTGTTGTCATTTTATGATTTCTTTTTCTCTTTCTTTTTTTTTTAGATAGTTCTCAGACTTAAATCTAAGTGCTCAAACTTTGGTCATAAATTTCTACTTTTTGTAACCTTAAAGAGGAAACAAAACCAACTGAAACCAAGCAAGTGGATTCACCAGGCACAGCCAACATAGCACCAACATTTTGAGACACATAGTAACTTACGCCTTATCATAAACCTTGAACTATTAGAAATCAAATGTTATGAATAATCCTAGAAGTCTGACATACTCCATTTTCAGCCCAAAATATCCCTGATGATAAAGAACAGTGTATTGTCTGGATTTTTAAAAAATCTCTTCCTAGATGGATAATAGCAAGCTGACAAGCCATGTTAAAAATTCCACAATGATTCAAGAATCATAGAGTTAAGAGAGGAATAATATTTTGACATTTTTTATATGTAGAGTAACGGTATGTCAAAAATGGGATTTTTACTGTCTCAATTTTAACTGAGACACCAATAGCCAAGAACAATACCACAGATGACAATTATACTACATTCTATAGCCAGCAAACTTTTTCCAAAAGGAACAAATAGTAAATATTTTAGGCTTTGCAACTCATAAGGTTTCAGTCATTCAACTCTTCCATTGTATGAAGAAAGCAGACACAGATAGCATGCAAATGATGTGCATGGCTGTGTTCTAATAAATATTTATAGACACTGAAATTTGGAATTTATATCATTTTCATATGTCACATGATATTATTCTTCTTTTGATTTTTTTCAATCCCTTAAAAATGTAAAAATTATTCTGAGTGTACTAGTTATACAAAAATAGGCAGGAAGTTAGATCTGGCCTGCAAACACCAATCCCTGTTCTAGTGAGGTGTTAGACCACCTATGTAGGACATGCTGAGAGATTATAAAATAAAATTTAACAGCATTTGTGCTCTCTCACTTCTAGAATATATGAGTTATAGAGATTTGACAGGGTAAAAATATATTTTTTCCTTTGGAAAATAAATATTGAAGTGCTGTGGCATTTTCTTTCTTCTCCCTACCTTAAAGGAAAAAAAAGTGTAGAAAGTTAAAGAAGCTGAAAAAAAAAATTCTTATATAAGAGTTCTCATTATACTATGGTGTTTCCCTATTACTCCCAACATAGGTGGTCTGGAAGGGGTTTTCCTAATACACGGAGAGAATGTGTTTTCCCTGAAGTTTTGCCTTGAGATGGCAAAGAGAAGCAGAGCTTTACTGGTAGATTGTTGCACTCCATCTATGGCAAAACAGGGATGCCTGAATTTTCACTTGGGCCAAGAGAGGCACCTGGCCCAAACTCATTTTCAAGAGGACTTTACCCAGAAGATTGTCCAAAGGAGTAAAGAAACTCCAACAGCAACAAAAACTCTGTGTTAGAAGTTAAAAAGTTGGGTATCTTTTGAAAGATTTGAAAACCATAGAAGACCAGTTAGGTTTTAACAGAGAGTGGCAGAAAAGGATAAATTTGTTTTCTGCTTATATCCTATCCGTTCCATCTTGATCAATAAAATCAGTAGTAATAGGCAAACTTCTTATAATAAAATATTTTTCTTTCATTTATATGTTCTTAATCCCTCAGAATTGGCTTAAAAACAAAGAAAAAAAGTTAAATTATGTACCCACTCCTACACCTTAATTGCACTTTGGTTTCATGTTGACATAACATGTTCCTCGTGCCTTTTGTAGTACACATTGATTATTTCAGAAGCAATTTCAATATTCTCTAACTAAAAGTGATAAAAGAATCTAATGAATTTCTCCAAAACAGCCTATTTTCCAAAGGTTACTGTGATATCAAATATTTATTTTTCTGAACTTTACAAATGGAAATGAATCATTCCTCGCTTAGTATTACTTATCAAATGAAATATATAGCATTTTTGAAATCTGCTTTTGATAATGTTTTCAAGCTATTACATTTAAGAAAATATAGTTGAGTAGTATTCCTCCATAATATCCTGAATAAAAAAAAAGAAAAAGAAAACTAAAACAAAAAAAGCAAAAATATAAATTTGGCATGAGTTGCAAATGGCACAATTACAGTGGCATTCATATTTTCTTATAGTTCAAGAAGTTGCCTAAATGTAGGCATTCTTACTATAGCTGAAAAAGCAAGAGTTTATATCACTTCTCAACTTTCCCTTCAAGGAAAATTGAACAAGATGGACTATCCAAATTTACAAGTAGAATTTATTTTGTCACTGGCTATTCTACATCAAATATAATGTTCATTTTCTATACCTAAAATGAACATAAAATTCATCTTCCAAGCCAGAGTGAAATGAAGACACTATTAATTGTTAACATCAGAGACATGTAAAGCTGATACTGTGCTAGACAAACCGTGCGTATAGTCACCTTGCCTGTCATTGACAGGCTATAAGTAAGTTTTCAAAATGTCTTTTAAATAACTCACAATCTGTCAGTCACACCCTCATTAATAAGGACCTTCATAAATATCAAAAAGAAACTGTATTCCCTATACATGCATTTCCAAATAATAAAATTGTGGGCTTTGGAAGTGTTTTCCTTATTTTCCATTTCACCTTAAGCATAATACTTCTCTTTGACAAACTTTATGTTTTGTGTTGGTTCTCTTGTCCAACTCTCAAACTCTGAGCTCCAAACAAATAGCAAGAACCTCATGATGTGGGTTACTGCTGCTTTTTAATTTCCATAATGGTTGTCGGTAAATATCAAGAAGATGGGAGGGGAAATATGCACTTTAGGCGGAGGTAGGGGAGCTGTGCTGCCTTCTCAGCCTTTTCATTTTACTAGATGGCTTGGGATTTGGAAATTAAACATTTCAAAGATGAAAAGGACTTGGGAAAATGATTTAATAATCATTACAATAATTTCCACAACCTACTTCACAGCAAGATGTGGGTTTCATTAAATTTAGCCACAGATGAGTGAGCTGGAAAGATATGGCTGAGCAGCCAGAACAAAGGTGACTTGCTGAAGTTAGAAGCAAACAGAATAAAAGCACTTCTCATCAGTTCCAAGTGAGCAAAGACACTGAAACAAATTTCTTGCATTGAAACTGTGTCTAATTAGTTAATGGATATGTTAGAGGGCAATGTTGCCAATTTGTTGATATAAATGATTTTTTTTCCATTTCCTCCCTTGTTGAAGGTCCTTTCTTTACTACTTGTGAACTTTCTAAATTGCACCCAAGGCTCAAAGTCGTTTGAACTCAACAGGAGATCACCATTCCAAACAGACTCCTAGAATTGATCTGTATCTCATAGGAGAAATTCAGGATCCTGTAAACTGGGTAAGTGGGAACTCCAGGCCTTTGCAAGTCCATGATGTGAGCATTGCTAATGAGCATTTATCCCTGTAGCCACTCAACACCAGAGGGCTCCTTACCACTTTTATTGTTTTTTTTTTCCTATCGCCTCCCTAAATTATAATACTAAATGACAGAAATGCTTGATTCTTAGTATCACTCAGCATTTCTTTTACATGACCCCATTCAGCAGCTTCTACCATTTCCCATAATGACTGCTCCAACTCATTAATCTCCTCAAGCCCATCCTATCAGAAAATATTCTTTTTTATTTATGAAGAAATTGAGGCCCTGACCTTTTCCAATTCTTTCTTCTGCACTGACAAAGGTCATCACATCTTTACTCCCTTAAATCTCCTTCTTGCTGGTGCCTTCTATGCTTCAGGACCAATTGCATCACCTCTGCCCACACTCTCCAAAATTTGCTCTTGCTTATTTCTTCCATGTCTCATAACATCATGCTATAGCTTTCTCTGCTATATCCCTTATCTCCTATCCCCTCAACCTGTAAACATGTGCAAGGTTCTTGATTTTTGAGAAAGATAACACAAAATAATGTCAACTAACCAAATAAAATATCTCTTGACTCTGTTGACTTTGTAGCCCTCTTTCTTTCAATAATAAAACTCTACATTTTCACACCTACTCTTCAAGTCCCTGAAATTGTACTACCTTTACTTCTCTTCTAAAATTCCCCTTGTCCAAGTCTCCAATTACATCCATTCGTTGCTCAATACAATGGATATTCTCCTCTTTGTCTTTTATGGCTTCACAGTATTCTGCAACATCAAGCATTTTCTTTGGCCTCTGGAAAGGCATTCTCTAGTGATAATTTTTAATCTCACTGGCTTAGTTTCCAAACAAGTCCCTTTCTTCTTTGCACTCCTTAAACTTTGGAGCTCCTCAGAATGCAACACTCAACAGGCACACACTGGGAATGTCGTCCATTTCCTGCTCTCTTCTGGCAACTCTATACTATATGCCCAAATAGGTCACTTTTTAATCTTTAAATCCATGCTTTATGTTGGTTCCTGAATGTTTCCACCTGGATATAGTATCAAAGATATTTCAAACTCAATATATTATAACTTAACTTATTCTTTTCCTCCCAAACCTGCATTCACTATTTCAGGATTGTCATAACTAGCAAACTAGTCTCTGAAGTTAGAGTCCCTGGAGTCATCCTCTGTAATCTGCTTTAAATCATCCTCAACATATTTAAGCAGACTTTACCTCCTAAATATTTCCCCATTCCTTCCCATCAATCCAGTCCCACTTACCGCTGCCTTAGTTTAGGGCATAATCATCTTTCACTTGGACTGATAAACTGAGTGCTGGCTTTAACTCCAGCCTCATTCATCCCTGCAGTTTTTTGGGATAGAAGGAAGGAAAACAAAGAGCATCAAGTATCTGACCCTTGAACAGCAGGCACCCTGCCTGGTAGCAAACAGTGGCTAGTCAGCTTTCTGTGTTATACCCAGTCATACCTACCAGGGATGCTTTTGGTTGAGAAAGAGAAGGGATGTCTATCTTCTTCCTTCACTACCTTGCTAATAGACAAGAGATTGAACACCCTGGATTTTGCTTGTCTTCTGTTAGAATCCAGGTAATCTAGCTTCTATTTACTTTTGCTATTCACTTGATGCTGATGCCAGCTTCACTTGTCACATCTAGGCAAGCCCTAGGTGTGACAAACATAAAAACATAACATAAAAATATTCCCTGAGCTGAGCTCCCTACAAGGAGTTTTCGAGTCCTCTACGACTGATTTAAAATTGAGAGCATGTCTTTGTTTCAATTTTTAATGAATTATTAAGTTGACAAGAAACTAGGAAATGGCAGAATAAAGGGAATACATATGATCAAAATCATGAGATAAAGTTTCAGAGCAAGGAAGAACGTGAGCGTGGGGCTACGACGAGAATCGTTTAAAGAAGTACATGAAAATAATATACTTTCTAATTTTTAAAAAAAAAAATACTTCAAAATGATTTGAGAAAATTCTAAGAAGAGGCTGCAGTGTGCCACCGGCACTCTCACCCACGAACTGAAATATCACTGTGTTGAAAATTCTGCTAGAGACTATCTGCTCCCATGTGAAATCCAGACATTCTAAACTATATGAACAGACCGAAATATTGCTATAAGGTAAATAAGAATTTGAAAGAAACTGGTGAGAATCTGGCCATGGTGACTTCTTTGAATGCCCCTAATTCATATTTCCTGACAGTTGTCAATTCTACTAAAATGTACCTGGAAAACGGGTTAGGCAAAGCCTCTAGAACGTTTCCTAAGGCCTAGAGGTCATCAGTCAGTATTCATCTTACACTGACAAAAAGAGAAGATAAAATTCAAAAAGCCAGTATCTGCTTATAATGTGACATAATGAAAATTTGAGCCTAACTTGGTTTTGCATTGCTAAAACCAATACCTCTCAGAAAGAGGTACTATATTTTCATCCTCACAGTCCAACAAAAAAGTTATTTAGAAATCTGCCAACTTCTAAGTTGAGACTTAACCTGTGTTATCATGTATCAGTGAGGAAAGCTCTTGATCTTCTACCCTAACTCAAAGAAAATAAGAAAAATATGAAACAAAAATATAACAAAGATTTAAATGCAAGACACTATGTGATGTCAATTGACATGTTATTAATATATTTGTATCCTTGCTGTCCTGTGCACAAAGAAACCAAGAGTCAGAGAATTTAAAGAACTTGCTGAAATCATAAAACTGCTAAGAAAATGGCCAGTGAGCACCTTGAATAAAATAGCAATACTTATTCATATTATTTCCATTATATATTCATACTATAAGGAAAAATAAAAGAAACCTTATACAGAGAGATGTCAGCCATCATTATGTATTCTAATTATATATATGAATATCTTTACTGATAATGTTTATTGATTTCTAGAAAAAAATGTATGTGTTAAGCCAAACCCCATGCACAATGTTGAAATATTTTACATAAAACTTGAAAGCATGGGCTTCTCTTAAAATATTAGAAGATCTGTCATCAGGGCTATCATTTCTACAGAAAACCATCTCTTGGAACTAAATAGTGGCTTTGTCATTAATTCAGCATGAAGTCTCAACCTGACCCCGATACTTATTCAGGTCACCTGTCCAGTCTCTGTAGGACTGGAGCTTGTCACGACTATTTACCATCCTTGAATATTCTCTCTGTTAAGCACTTCATGAACTCTAATTACATTAAGTATTGCACCCTTTTTGGCTACAGATGTTTGCAAGTTTAGAAAAAAAAAAGTCTTGATGAACAATAGAAATAGAACAGAAATAGCCATCGATTCCTAACTTTGTCACAGAGAATATTTACTCAAGGACTGGCTAGGCAAGAGATGAAATGGATATGCCAGTAAGATCTAAAGTGAAAATTTCACTAGATTCTCCAAACTGATTAGATGGTAAGATACACCCCATTATTAATGTGGCCAGACCTCCCAAGAGTTCTGCATCCCAGTAGAGAGCATGGCACATGTCTGTTTCCCCAACCCTCCAACCCATCATCGCAAAGCTTCTGTTCTTTAAAAGCAGAAGAGCCATTCGGATCTTATTACAGTGTATTCTCATCACTCCCCCAAAAATCATCCTCCAGAGACTCAGGGTTAGGAGGGATGTATTCAAGTTTTCAAGTGAAATAATTTTGAAAACAAAGTCATGAACTTTAACTTTGTTGGGAGCAACATGAAAGATAATAAAGAAAAGCTGTTAGGATAATTTCGGTGTTTTCTTACATGTGCTTTGTGTGTTTGTTTATCCAAATGTAGAACTATAATGGCAAATTAAATTAAGAAACTAAAAAACAGATTTTAAAAAACTGTTTTATAGAAAAAATATTTATAATCATACAAAAGAAAGCCATAAGAAATTGATGTCTATTTTATGCTAGATATAGGTGTTCTTAAAAAACCATTATAGCATCTTAGGATTTAAATTTTTCTCTTAGTATCAAATGACAGAATTACTGATATCACCTAGCAACTGCATTTTCTTTTATCTTGCTTAGCATTTGTCATGGTGAAAAACAAACGACTTAATAATCATAGAAAAGGATAAACTGTTAGCACACTCATTCATTAGGGTTATACTAATTTTGGGCCAACTATATGCATTTATTTTTTAAAACTGTTAACCTGGTTATTTTTATCAGTAAGATATAAATAATATTGAATTACCCATATAGTTATACTTACATATTTACTAATATTTAAGTCACAGAGGTTCAGGCTCAATATTTGAACACTGATAATTCCTGATAAGGTGAAATGCTAACAAATTATTTAAAGTAATGGATAACTTTTAACATCAGCAATATAAGTTAAAACCCTATTCCTTGAGTTAACCAATTTTTGCTTCTACTTTCTCATTTTAGATATCAGATATCTTTGTGTTCAATGCCTAAATGCACACACATACACACATGCACACACACACACACACACACACACACTTGGATAGCAACTTCAGAAGGGATTTTAAAATAACTACACTACAATAATTCATAGAACTACATTGACTCAATAGGTTAGGGGTTTTAATCTTTAAGGGAGCAATACCCTAGAACAAGTTTAACCACAGAACTGCCTTACAAATAGAAAAACTTTAAAATTTAAACCAGAGAAGCTAAAAAGTGGGTCAGTTGTCAGTAATGTATTAATTTTTCAACACAAGAATTTAATTCTCTTACACTTTTTTTTTCAGGTTTCCTTTGAAGTTAATAGCAACCAAAATGGAATAAGTTTGAATATAGAATCAGCATATTGCATTTGTTAATGCAGAGGATTTGCAGTACAAAGAAAATTAATGAGTCCTTTAAACTAACACAATTTTATGTTTTTCTTTGAACATGTAGTTGCATTGAAAGGCAACATTTGTGCTAAACTGGTAAAAACAAGAAAGACACTGCAAGTAGCAGGGTTTCTGTAGTTCAAAGAAATTCCAAAGGGAGCCTGCTTCAAACCACAAAATCCCTACCCCTCATTACCCATGTCTAGGAACAAGCCCCTTTATTTGGCTAAGAAGAGGGCAGAGGTATGCACCAATGCAGGCTAGGAAGGAAGACAACGTTCTTACTTGTAAAAAGAACATCAAAACAAGAGAGACAGTGAAAAGAAGAAAATAAATTAAAATATTCAAAATACAAAAAAATAAAACAATATCACAATTCTGTTATACCGTTATATATCACAAATCAATGAACTATTCTAAATATCATAAAATCACATATTGTCATCTTTATTTCCAATAATAACTGTTTTGCTATTGATATTCTAGCTGATTATTAATAAATTATGTGTTATATTTCAATTAGATACCAAATATACCAATTTATGGCTTTCAATATTAAGAGTACAACTCTCCTCATAAAATTGTTGCTTTTGAACACTCTCTGTTATATTACAGACGCACTCTGTTATATTACAATCTTTTTGGCTATATGGGTGCCAAGTTAAGTAACAAAGTATCAATGACTTGAGAAAAATTGTCAGCCTTATCAGGATACCTTCCTGTCACACACTAACAAGTAGCTCTGGATTGATATTTTGAGATCTATTTTTGTACAGCTTTGGGGGGAAAATATACCTCCACGTGAGGTATTTTCTCTTGGCCAAACTCACAAACTAGCTGAATACATTGCTGATTCCAACAGTGTCGACCTCATATATTGGAACCTTCTGGTTCATTATATTATACTCAGGGCAGGAAAACCACCACTGAGATTCATTCTTAAATGTAAATATCCCAGGAAAAATGGGAAGTCAGGAAGTCATTCTGCTTGTTCTTCCTGTATATTTATTTCTTGCATTGACCTAAATTAATGATCTACTAAGTAATTTCACATCATGTCAAAGAATGATTTTTCCCTAAAATTAGATATTTGGCTTTATTTATGGTACATCACATAATCTATTAATAGAACAGTGAATCTTGTATGTTAGAATCACCTGGAGAAAGTAATACTGACGCCTGGGGCTCCATCCCCAGAGATTTGAGGATATAGGCTAAGACCCATGTACAAAAACATTTTTTTATTTCAAAATATTAAAGGGGTGCAAATATTTTTGTTACAGTGGATATATTGTATAATGCTTAAGTCGGGGCTTTTAGTGTGCCTATCACCAGAATAGTGTTCATTGTATCCAATGGGTAAGCTTTCATCCCTCACCCCCTGCCAACCTCCTCCTTTCTTGATTCCAAAAGCACCCAAGTTAAAAGAAGGCACAGTGTTGAGATGCATTATAGTGGGGGAATATTTGCTTATAGCTTGTGTGGCTGAGTAATAATAATAGCAACAGAAACAGAAATTATCCAGCAACTATAGTAAGCCAGAAGTGAATACTTCATCTCCACAGTCACAACTAATGCTCATACCAACCCAATTCATCAAAGGGCAGATGGTTGCTGCAAACTCATTTGCTCACATATCCGACAGCACACTAGGTCAAAGCTGAGTTGACCTACTGGGTTCCAGGTTTGTAATAGGAAACAGGCAGGCTTGACATCTAGAACATCAAGCAATAAGTAAAACAGTCAGAACTAATGCCCCAGATATTCCTAATACTCAAAGATCCTTTATTAGAATTCACAAGAGCATTTCTTTTCTTCCTAGTATTATCTTCCTTAATGTTCACTTTTCTCCTAAAGCAGGAGGGATGGAAAGATACTTTAGGTTTCCCTTAGTGATTTTCTATTAAGGGCAAAACACCTACTTTCTTATACTCTAGGGGTATAGAAAGGCTCAAGCATTTAGAATGAGAGGGTCAATGATTCAGGATATGTCAGTGTTAACATATTCCACTGTTGTATTCTCTCCAGTGAAGAGTGATTCTGCAAACACAGCTACCCCAGAGATACACAGGTTGTCACAATCAGAAAGAGAAAGACTCATAGGTAGTATGAACTAGATAGGTGGAATTTTAGATCATCATAATCAGAAAGACTCTTATGTAGTATCTGGTTCTACACTCCACACAATTAACTAATTCTTAGTAAATCTCCCAGCTTCTCCTTAAAGTCTCCAGTAACAGACTAATTCATTACTTCCTGAAGTACATATGCCACCTCCAAAAAGCTCTAACTCCTAAGCAGTTCTTGCTTATTCTGAGAGTATGTCTGCCTGGCCTAAAAAGACCCATTGGTCTCATACTTCTACCTCAGAGCCACCCAAAATAAATCCTATTTTAAATACTACTTGAAGATAGCATTTTAACCCATCACTAAGTCTTCATTTTATGAGTTTAAGTAAGTTCTTTTCCATAGTTCCTCAGCTACAATCTTCAGACTCATCTAGATTCCTCTCCCCTGGCATGCCTCACTGTGTCATCATAGTGTGTTGCACCAAACAAAATTACAGCAGGGTGCGGTTTGAGAAGGGTAGAGTCACATGGGACCATACTCTAAACAAGAAATCTATAGAAAAGAGTTTGCTTTTCTTTTTTCCAGTGAGTTTCTATTTAAACACACCTTTCACATCTTCTATCAGTAAATTTCTCTCTCTTCCCTTTCTTTCTTTCTTCTCTCTCCTTCTTTCCTTCATTCTTTCTGCACTCAAGTTCAGAAGTGTCCAAAATCAAGATTTCCTGTAAAAACTGTTTATGGTTTCCTCCTAACCCATGCATTCTCTCAACTGGTATTTCTTGTCTTGCAGCAGAGAGAACAGGAGAAAAGATTCGAGGCTTTTTACCACAGTGACACAGCCAAATTAGTCTAAACTACCTCAAAATAGAGGAAAATAGGATATCTATTATGGGAGATATTTTCTTCAAACTTCAATTAAGCTTTATCATAAAAATATGTCTACAAACTGAGAATCCTGTGTTAAAGTACTATGTATACAAATCATAAATTTTTTTATTCTTAAATATCACTCAGTAAGGATGATACTGTTTAGTGGAAAAATCCATTTCTGTTGTTTTTAAATTCTCAAATCAATTGTTGGATTTAGAGCTACATAGTTCCCGATGGGAAAAGGAGACTTTTCTCCCACACTTAGATTGAATACTCTCATCAGAAATGAAATGGGTATTGGGCTGTAAGGAGGAAATTCTGGAATCATACCAGACTGATCTATCATCCCTAGTGCTTAGATTGTAAGGAGCTAAATGCATCACAGTATTAAAATGAAATGAATTATGCAGAACCTTTGACAGACAGCATGTGTAATTTCTTCTTTAAAACTCTTCAAATCATTCTGCTCCATCTTTGATTATGTGCTAGTTATGCTGAAAATAAGAAACCCTTCAAATGTTTTAAAACACACATACATATGGATTGCATAAAATTAATATCTTTACCTTTACAAAAATCATTCCAGGAACACATTCACCAGTAAAATATATTTAAGACAGTTTCAGCACTTCCACTAAACTCTAATTTCAGAGGTTTATAATGTGGTCATAAAAATTCATTCCAGGCTAAAATTCAGCACCAAGGAAAATGTGCTTTACACTTGGTAGATAACCATTCCCTCTTCTTTCATTCCTCATGACTGTTTAAAAAAGTTTTCACTGAGTGTTTTTCAAAAGTTGAAACATTAACCAAACTGGCAGGAATCGAAATTACAACTGACATTCCAGTTATTTTTTTTTTATTTACTTGCAACTTTCTCCTCCCTTCACTCTATTTGTCCCCTTGCTTCTAAAATACACAAGGTTAGAGATTTTTTTTTCCCTATATAAAACTACAAATTTAAAAAGTATGCATCAAAAACTGCATGGTACCATGCTTCAGAAAGTCTGTATAAGGCACTGTCTAGCTCTGATAGGCATTAAAAGGACAAAGGGTACATTTACAAAGGCTTAATCTAAATCTCGTTAACAATCGGTTTATATGTGGCAAAGAAATACATGAAGGGTTACATGTAGCATATCATAAATGTTTCTTGTTCACAGAAGAAAGTGAAACCATTTTTCCAGTGCTCTACAGCTCCTGCATTGAAGCATGTCTGGAACCTCGAAACCCATGAAGGAAAGAAGGGAGTCAGCTGGGAAGGGAACACCTGCCTAACTCCAGACTCATTTCTGGGACGCAGAAGTTTGATGGGCCAACTCTTTCATGAAACGTCATGCAGTTCACCTGCTCCTAAGAGGAAATCTAAAGATCTGAATCTGGACTGCTGTGCACCTTTCACTGGTTTAATTGTTGTCTTCAGGCAATAACGAATGTTGCCCTGCTTCTGTCATTGTTAACTGCCAAATCCTTCCCACCCATAACCCTTAGAAGGACCCCTCTAAGTATATTTGGGAAATACCGCTATGCCCTTCTTTTTACTCTTGCTCATAATATTATATCAACCAACTGTCTAAATTTAAGGAGTGTTTCAGAATGTTATTTCATGCCATCCTTATGGTAACTCTGTAAGGCAGATTTACCCAGGATGCGCATGGAATCAGAAAGGTAAAGCTTTAGGAGATAGAGCAAGAGCTGCATGTCTTGCTGGCTACCAAGAAGGCTGGAGGACTTTCAGTGAGAATAAGTGACTTTCCCTTCCCATCCAGTGTAGAAAGACTAAGACAGCATCTTGCTTCCTACAACCCAACTCTCAAGACATCCAGCAGGGCTCTCCTGCTGATAACTGCCTTCTTTGCCTTAACTGCCAGAGCCAGAAAGAGACCCCTGGGAGTAAAAGGCTTGATAAAATTGACCCAGAAGTGGAGCAAGGAAACAAAAAGAAGGTCACAGCACAGTATTATTTTAGGGTGGTTACTGTGCCCAGGTGAGATTTAGAAATGGATGCACTATGAGATCCCAACTCATTCAAAATGATGCAGTTTTGGAAGGTTTATTGAAAAAAATCTAGATCATATGTTATTTTCACATCACTAGCAATCAGATTAAATCTATATTTGAAACGGTATGATTAAACATTCTTATTCCTCATGTAAATTATCCTAAAGGTACAAGGGAAACTCAACAAGGCTTGAGTTGATCTACTTACCATTAATCTAAAACTGGACTTTAAAAATGGACCACATAGGTGACCATCTCAGGTTTCTAAACATTTTTGAAACCCAGACAATTTCTTCCTCATTGCTATCATTTCTGTATATTGCCAGTTAAAGTCCTGTTCGGGGGAGGGGGAGAGGCATATTTGAGAAGCATCTCTTCTTTGTTGAAATTGGTGGGGAGAACACATTCAAAAAGGAAAATAAAGAACAGATGCATCTCTGTTTTTATTGCTGCTTAATGTTTTTCCTCCCTTAGAATGTCCATTTTTATGTAAACAACTTTTCTTTTCAGTTACCTTTATGCTAGACAAAGATGTCATTAATTTTCAAATGTCTTTTCTTCTTTCCTTAGGCAACAAACGCCTGGGTGCCACTTTAGCCACATATTAAAAGAGAATATTAATTTAAATAATGACAGAAAATTATGTTTTACAGTCTTCTCTACAGAGTAGAAAATAGAATGGGAAAGCCTCTCTGCATTGCAGATTTAGGGGAGTGTACCAGTTTTTGTGCCATTTTACCCATTATTCTTTTTTGCTGTTGCTGGGTCACTTTTGCTACACACTGAGGGCATACTATTTACAGAGAATATCCCCTTACTGCTCACCCCAAAAAGAATACATTAAATGTGTTTACCTATATGTCTTACTAATTAAAAAACAATGATTCTTGAAGAGTTATATTTATAGTTATATAAATATAGTTATATAAATAAATATAGTTATATTTATAGTTATATTACTCATTGAGTAATATACACCTTCGTCACATTTAATGCTTGTCTGACAAGAGTTTTCCTAGTGGTCACTAATGGTAGTCCCTTAGGTCAAACATTAATTTCTCAATACTTTTTCTTTCCTCAGACTATTACTTTTTCCCTATGAGTCTTATGAGTTGTGGAGAGATTTTGCTCAAATTATCAAGCAAATAAAAATGCATAATAAATATTTGTTGAGCATATTAACAACTATACTGTTCAGAACTTCCGCTGGATAACTTGACAGTTACTTTCTATAACTTAATTGTTGAAATAACATGCTGAAATATAAAGCCGTATAAAAAGGCCAAATTCCTTGGAATGGAATATCAGGTCCTCCCAGGATCTCTCTCTGTGGGCCTGATCCACTTCTTATCTCACTGGCGTTCCGTTTGAAGGTTAACTTCCATCCAACCAAAATCAGTTAGTTCATTTGCTATTTCACACTGAAGTATTTTTCTCTGTCTTTGCCCCTGCTTACTCTTTCTAACTGCAATGTTGTCCTTTGCTCTGTCCACCAGGAATATTCCTATTTCTCTTTCACTACCTGACTTCAACTGTTTTGCCTTTCCTACGCCTTGTCATTACCCCTTTTAGATGGTACTAGGATGTGCTAAAGTCATTTGTTTATATGTCCACTAGAGGGTTTGTGTCTTCTGATTGTTCCCTGGGCCTATCATAATGCTGTACACTCAGGGCTGGTACTCTGTAAATGCAGCTGAGTAAATGACTAAATAAGGCAATGTCTAAGTGGAGTCTTCATTATCTATAATCGTTCAACCAATGCCAATATGTGTTACTACAGAAGGGATGTTGGTCCATTTGAAATTTTCTAAATGATTAGAAAAAAACTTGTTTTGAATGTTTTCTTAGTAGCATCATAATGACTTCCAAAATAAAATGCATCTTTCATGCATTACATAGTCATGTAGCTAATATAAAAGGCACAAGCCTAGGCACTGGGATGCAGGTTTTGGTTCCAGATCTGCCACTAACTAGGTATATTATTCAGAGCAAGATCTCAATTTCTCTGGATTTCACTTTCACCACCAGTCAAACGTTAAGAGTCATAAGCAACAAGCTGTGAAATCCTGTTCCTCTCTGACATTCGACTCATCTGTCACGGGAAGCTTCCATATCTATTGGTCAGAGGCATCACTGTTTCTGTCTAGTCAACCTTAACTAAGTACACGCTACACACCGGGCGGTGTACTGCTGACCAGATGCACAAGACAGTGGAAACAGCGCTAGCACTGTCTCGTTTTTAACTCACAACCTCCCCCTAAAGCAGATAACAATTATTCCAAGTTCCCTGATGAGAAAATGGAAGGTTGAAGCAGTTAAGTAACTGGAATTGAGATATTTTGAATCCTGTGCTCTCCTGACTTTCCCATAGACAGTTAAGGAAAAAAACAAACAAACAAACAAAAAAAACAAGACACCAAGAAACAATACTGCTGTGCACTAGAAATAAACACAATAATTTTCATTATGTAAAACATATGGCTGAATGAAGCTGTTAAACAGGTAATGGAATAAAATTCTACATTTTTTATTATGAACCCATTTTTGTAGTGAGTTCTACCTTCCATTTTTCTAGTAATACAAAAGTGCTTTTTATTCTGATGCAGAATGGTAAAAAATGAATGAATGAAAAAAACATAGGTAATTCATTTTTTCATACCATAAATATTTCTATATTTATAATCATTTTCAGAATGTAGAGCTTACAGTTCCAACATGATTACACCCACATATGTAGAGAAGGAAACTGAGCCGATTACTGGATTATGAAACCAAATATGAGGAATGTTTGGGGAAGGAAGAGCACACTGGATTACTTTATTTAATCTAAAATATTGCCTCAAACTTTCAACTCATTTTCTGTATATAAATATAGTTTATGTGTTTAAACTACTGGTGTACTCTGGCTATATACTTAAAACAATGTAAGTAAAAATATTAATGACAAGATTTGAGATAAATGTGTTCTCCTTTTATGTGTTGTCAGGACCAAGCCCTGGAAAGGAATTGAAAAAAATAACTGTGTGATTCAAACTGCAGGTAGATAAATGGCCAGGATAGAGTTTTTTGTTTTGTTTTATAAAGGCATTCAAACTCTGACAAAAAAAATAATGCTGCTAGGTATTTGAAAGCTTTTGCTATGCCAAGGAGAACCTAATACATCACCATAACTTCAAGCAGAGAACAGGAGAAAGAGAAGGGGTCACAGCTATCTATCAACCTTTAAACAAACATCGTCTAAGTTGCTACAGGTAGCGGAGTACATAACATCGAGTTATGTGTTGTTGAAGTGCTCCTGCTCACTGCTTAAAATAAAAATGGAAGATTTATATTATACCCACTTCTCATCCTGCCACCTACCTGTCTTGAGTTTTCCAGCCTGAGGAGGAAAATTATTTTTTATTTAAGCTGTGAACAAGAATAATTTTTAATATTCTAGAGACTATAAGATTTTAATGGGGTGGCAAAAACCTTAAGTTCTTTGACTTGTGCAGAGTTTTATGACACTGTTCCACCAAAACAATAAATAAATCCATAGCTATAGGTAGAACCATAACAAATTCTGTGAGACAATTCTGTGTGTAGTTTTAGGGAGATTCTCAGATTTCCATTTGGTTAACATGACTCAATATATATAGCTGGCACAGATCTTGTTAGATAATCTCTATTGATAATGACAACTATTAGATAGTAATCAACTAATTAGAAAATAGAGTTTCAAGTTTATTAGTAGAAATCCTAACAATATTTGTGGAAATAATTACCTGAGAAATGAAACTATGTATAGTCACAAAACTTATGTCTATATTTTCCTATCTTTACTACTATTATTCAAAACACGTCTGGCCCAGGAAGATGAAATTGCACACAACTTTATTGTTTCAGGAACTTTCTGAAAATCCATTTATCTAAACAATAGATTACTTAACTAAGCCTCATCTTGATAGAGGCTTCTTTGCAGAACAATAGATTGTTCAATTGGGCTTATCAAAATAATGTTTAATTCTTCAAGGTTCATTTTAAAACTGTCTCCTGACCTTATCCACCAATTCTAAACTATTACATCTCAAAATGTCCACAATTTCAACCAGGCTGTGTTCAGTCCGCCTGTATGGAGGCACCTGCCTTAAACCACTGTCCACGTTCTACAAATACCACGCAGGACCTCATGCTCCAGAGACATCACCAAGTCTTTTCAGGGCAAAGGTCTCTTTTGTTTGATGAACAGTTTCCTTTAGCAGCATGTTAGGGGACTTAAAAGAATTCAAACTATTACCTATAGGGGAAGATCTATATTCTACTCTTCTACAGGTTTTAATAATAAATTCAAGACAAAAGAATCATAATTTTATACTGCTTATATCAAGCGGGTTCAACTTTATTCACTTATGGTTTCCACTAATGTTAAATTTCAGCTGACAGTTGGGATTAGAGGAATGTAGTTTTGCCTTCTAATTATAGGTTGCCTTTCTCAGCATGTTCTGATTAATTTAGTAAATAACTTATCTATGCCTGATTAAAAACTAGTAAGTTAATTAATATGGACAAGTTAGTTGATGTCTGTAGAAACAGCCACTAAATTTTTCAAGTTAAGATTAATTTATACTTGTCATTAGAGGAGAATAAACATATCTAGAGGAAAATTACAGAAGTGAAGGTGTAACGTTGAGTATAGCTTTTATTTTAATTGTGATTTGTTCTTGGTGGAATTTGAAAAATATTTTAAGTGATTAACTTAAAAAATAACTATCATTGTATATGCCTTTTTAAAATTGAGTATGATATTAAATTATGGTGCTAAGGATTATCCCAACATGTTTATTTTATTTACCCAAAATCAGAGAGAGAAGAATTAATGAATTTTTAAAACTCTTTTGCCAGAGGCGTTATTCAAAACTCAATATGGTTTGATGGGAGAGTGTCAGCAAGCCTTTTATATTTCACATTTCCACATGAATTCCTATTAGTCGTTTACTTCTTTTAATTTCTTTGAATTGGTATATTTTTATTTTTAAAAATTGTGATAAAATATACATATGGTAAAATTTACCATTTTAACCATTTTTAAGTGTATAGTTGAGTGTCATTAAATACATTTACATTGTTGTGCAACCATCACCACCATACATCTCTAGAATATTTTTATCTTGCAAAACTGAAACTCTGTACCCATTAAACAATAATTTCCCATTCCCTCACCCTACGCCAGTTCCTGGAAACCACAATTGTACCTTCTGTTTCTATGAGTTTGACTATTGTAAGTATCTCACATGAGTGGAGTCATATAGTATTTGTGACTCACATTGCACTTAGCATAATGTCTTCAAGCTTCATCCAGGCTGTAGCATGTGTCAGAATTTCCTTTCTAAGGCTAAATATCACTCCATTTTGTTATTATTTTATTTATCTACTACATTTTGTTTATCTATTCATCTGTTGATGGACACTTGGCTTGCTTCTGCCTTTTGGGTTTTATGAACAGTGCTGCTATGAATATGGGTGCAAAAAATATCTTTGTCCCTGCTTTAAATTTTTTTGATTATATTTCCAGAAGTTGTTTCTTTGTAGTAAAGGAAAATCCTAGAAAGAAGTTGGCAAGTGGTTACTAGAATTTAAATGCATTTAAAAATTTTATGTGTTGCAAAAGATGCCATAATTAAATAAGCACAAAAAGGGATAACAATTTAATTGATAAAAATATTCTTGTTTTAAAATATTACACTCCACAGTGTTGTGTACTCATCTACCCTATTTTCCAGATTCCAGAAAAGTATTCAACAGAGCTATGTAAAGGAGAAAATGTTTTCTATTTCACTGTTTTATAAGTCAGATCCAAAT